AATCACACCTTATATTCAAACATTATGGGTTGTTTTTAAACAATGTGCGAGGGGTTCACGATTTTGCTACTACCAATGTTGAAATTTTACACTATCTCTTTTCTAATGAGATTATGAACGATATGGGATTGAGTTATGATTTTACTACAACCAGTGTTTAAACTCTACACTATCTCTTTTCTAATTAGAAAATTTAGTGGAACTGGGGTTCATTTTTAATGAACTTTTTTCAAAAAATTTCAAAAAACTTTGCGTTTTAGAGTCTAGTTGACTACATGGACCAAATAAGTTATAAAAAAATGAAAAGCAATTCATTAAAAATAAAAGTGAAAATAAGTTGGTGATGTTTTTAGATCATTCTACACTCGATGCACAAAAAATATAAAATCTTTGACACAAATTTAAAAAATATAATATTCAAAAGAAAAAGAAAAAGAGAAAGAGTTTTTTTGGTTTGTTGCCAAACCCACCAAATGTTATTGATTGAAATAGAAAAAATCATCATTTTTATGTTTTGTAATCATCACCAAGGACTGATCCATAGGGTGCAAAAGTATATATTTAGATTTTCAAATTTTCAAGATCCGTCCATGATCATAACAACACTAATTTATTTATTTTATACATGAAAAATAAAAGCCCGTCCTTGATAATCACAATATTATTTTTTTTTTTTAATTTTCTATTACAAAAAGAAAAGAAAAAAGAAGTGGTTGTCCAATGACTTAAACTAAAGTTATAGCCAGAGAACCTACAGGTTCACTGTCTAGCCTAAGTTCAACTAGGCCGGGCACAACTCACAGGTTCACTGTCTAGCCTAAGTTCAGCTAGGCCGGGCACAACTCACAGGCTCACTAGTCTAGCTTGAGTTCAACTAAGCTAGCTAGAACCTAGAGGTTTACTCGGTCTAGCCTGAGTTCAACCAAGCTAGCTAGAACCTAGTGGTTTAATCGTTTTAGCCTAAGTTCAACTAAGCTAGCTAGAACCTACAGGTTCGCTGGTCTAGCCCGAGTTCAAGCGTTGAAGCCAACTATCAACTTTACCATCATCCAACCACTTTGGTGCCTTCGCTTCAGTCGTAAGCTAGCGCTACTTAGCTTGGCAATTATTAGATGTCTCAATCACCCCTTATATTCAGACATTTTGTGTTGCTTTTAAACGATGTGGGATAAGTTTACCAATATTTAAACTTTACACTATCTCTCTTCTAATTAGATTATGAACGATGTGGGATAGATTTACGATTCTACTACTACCAATATTTAAACTTTACACTACCTCTCTTCTAATTAGATTATGAATTCTCTACGAATCCCCTCACATTTGTGGGGAGTGAACTTAATTGCAGGAACCTCCTACTAAGAAATCTAATCCTTCACTCAACATGACTAATTCTTATACCATAGTTTGTTAATGTGTTTATATACCACGTGGTTATGTTACATACTTATGTCACATTGTCTTTTTGTTTAAGTAAAATTGCTTCAAATCCCTTATGTGGTGTGGTTCCATTTTTCAAGCACTAAATTACTTTGCAAAATAATGTGCTGAAGTAGGTATATCAAATGTGAAAAATGACGTCTTGATTGTTAAAGTATTTACAACGTAGCTGCTAGAATCAAATCATAATAGATTGAAATGGCTGATAAGTGACATGGTATTTTATAACCATTATGGCTGCACATTTTGTTCTTATTAACAAATTTCCTTCAGGTCATTTCAGTCTTAGAATGCATTGTGATAATGGAGTAGACGTGGCTAATCAATAGGAACTGCCGGGTTCCCATCCAAATTAATTAGTTTTATTGGGAGGCTGATATCCAAACTTCAAAAAAATTTATTGGAAAGCGGATAGCCAAACTTCAAATAAGACTTCAAACTCAACAAAAACTTTATTGCCAAGCTGCAAGGTGGCCTTTTACGAATTCCTTTTTTATTTTTATTTGTATTTTTTCAATATGTTTGAATCTTGAATTTGCGGTGGGAAAGGAAAAGAGAAAGAAAAAAAATGAAGTGAAAGGTGCTAAATTCTTTTCTTTTGTATGGTTGGGTTAGAAAAATGAAAAGAAAATGAACAGGTTTTTCTTTTTCTTTATTTTTTATTTTTTATTTTAGGTTGTTAATAAGTTTACAATTATACTACTACCAATATTTAAACTTTACACTATCTATTTTCTAATGAGATTATGTTTCCTTCTCTCCCGTAACCACCATCAACCGCCACCATCACCAAATCCTCTCTGCTCAAAGCTTTTAAATGTTTATTTTGCTTGGAATATATTTTGAATTATTTTAAAGGTAGGTAGTAATGCAAGTGTAGGAAAAAAAAACCACATTAGAGTGGTAAATTTAAAAATTTGTAATTAGTTTTTCAAAATACTATTGAGTTGTAATTTTTCGTAAAGAAAATTTAGTGGAACTGGGGTAAGTATTTGGATTTTTTTTTTTTCATTTGTACTAGAGGTTTTTAAAAATAAAATTAAAAAACTTTACATTTTAGCATCTACTCGATTGTGTAGACCAAATAAGTTATAAAATTAAAATGGAAAATAATTGACTAAAAAAAAGTGAAAATAAGTTGGTGATGTTTTTAGATCATTCTGCACTAGATACACAAAAAATGTAAAATTTTAGAGGCAAATTAAAAAAATAATAATAACATTCAAAAAAAAAAAAAAGATAGAGTTTTTAGTTGGTTTGCCAAAAGCCACCAAATTTTATTGATTGAAATAGAAAAAACCATTATTTTTATGTTGAACATCATCACCAAGGATAGATCCAAAGAGTGGGATAGTATATTTAGATTTTCAAATTTCGGTCTCTTTTCTAATGAGATTATGAACGATGTGGGATTGAGTTATGATTCTACTACAACGCTATAGCTAGAGAACCTGTAGGTTCACTGTCTAGCCTAAGTTCAACTAAGTTGGGCACAACTCACAGGTTCATTGGTCTAGCTTGAGTTCAACTAAGCTGGCCACAACCTACAGGGTTCAACTAAGCTAGCTAGAACCTACAGGTTCGCTGGTCTAGCCTGAGTTCAAGCGTTGAAGCCAACTATCAACTTTACCATCATCCAACCACTTTGGTGCCCTCGCTTGAGTCGTAAGCTAACGCTACTTAGCTTGGCAATTATTAGATGTCTCAATCACACCTTATATTCAAACATTATGGGTTGTTTTTAAACAATGTGCGAGGGGTTCACGATTTTGCTACTACCAATGTTGAAATTTTACACTATCTCTTTTCTAATGAGATTATGAACGATGTGGGATTGAGTTATGATTCTACTACAACCAGTGTTTAAACTCTACACTATCTCTTTTCTAATTAGAAAATTTAGTGGAACTGGGGTTTATTTTTAATGTACTTTTTTCAAAAAATTTCAAAAAACTTTGCGTTTTAGAGTCTAGTTGACTACATGGACCAAATAAGTTATAAAAAAATGAAAAGCAATTCATTAAAAATAAAAGTGAAAATAAGTTGGTGATGTTTTTAGATCATTCTACACTCGATGCACAAAAAATGTAAAATCATTAACACAAATTTAAAAAATATAATATTCAAAAGAAAAAGAAAAAGAGAAAGAGTTTTTTTGGTTAGTTGCCAAACCCACCAAATGTTATTGATTGAAATAGAAAAATTATCATTTTTATGTTTTGTAATCATCACCAAGGACTGATCCACAGGGTGCGAAAGTATATATTTAGATTTTCAAATTTTCAAGATCCGTCCATGATCATAGCAACACCAATTTATTTATTTTATACATGAAAAATAAAAGCCCGTCCTTGATAATCACAATATAATTTTTTTTTTAATTTTCTATTACAAAAAAAAAGAAAGAAAAAAGAAGTGGTTGTCCAATGACTTAAACTAAAGCTATAGCCAGAGAACCTACAGGTTCACTGTCTAGCCTAAGTTCAACTAGGCCGGGCACAACTCACAGGTTCACTGGTCTAGCTTGAGTTCAACTAAGCTGGCCACAACCTACAGGGTTCAACTAAGCTAGCTAGAACCTAGAGGTTTACTCGGTCTAGCCTGAGTTCAACCAAGCTAGCTAGAACCTAGTGGTTTAATCGTTTTAGCCTAAGTTCAACTAAGCTAGCTAGAACCTACAGGTTCACTGGTCTAGCCTGAGTTCAAGCGTTGAAGCCAACTATCAACTTTACCATCATCCAACCACTTTGGTGCCCTCGCTTGAGTCGTAAGCTAACGCTACTTAGCTTGGCAATTATTAGATATCTCAATCACCCCTTATATTCAGACATTTTGCGTTGCTTTTAAACGATGTGGGATAAGTTTACAATTATACTACTACCAATATTTAAACTTTACACTATCTCTTTTCTAATTAGATTATGAACGATGTGGGATAGATTTTTAACCCTCCCAAAACATTGGTTATCTATCAAAGGTAGCATTGTTGTCTGGGAACTGCTCACCAGACCCAACAAGTTATGTTAACTGATGACAACAATATTATTACAGCATACATTTTCTAGAAAAAAAAAGAAGACCCTAGCCTTGAGGTTTTCCTGTGTAATACTTGGGCTTCAAGGCCTTGGTTGTTTGTCGAGTTTGAAATATATCTCCCTCCCGTTCTTTTTCCTTCTGCAACCGTAATTGGATAGTAATTTTTGAGTTCTATATGTATTACTATCTCTTTTTTTATGATTTCAGCCTTCTGTCAGAGAGCAGCACAATGCAGGGTACAAACATAAGGTATTATTGTATAGGCACATGTCTATTTTTTCTTAGAAGTGTAGATCACATCATTATGTTTCTTACACATTTAATCTATAAAGGCAAATGCCAGAACCTATTATCAGCAATTTGAGGCGCAACAAAATCAAAGTTTGATCCACCAAAAGATCCAGGAACATCTTGGGCAAACTACTGCATACCAGCAAGTTGGTGCTGCTTACAATGCACTGAGGCCCCGTGTGCCTATTCTTCCCACTCCAATGATGCCAATGGCAGGGAACACCCAGTTACCTGTCAATTCACCATTAATCCCTGGAGCTAGGCCACCAGTCTTGCCAAGACCACTTCCAGGTAGGATGTGTGTTTAACACTTCTTCATTGACACCCAACTTATGTGTTAATTTTGTCCTAATTATTGGTGGATGCAGTGACTTGTGTGTGGATGCATTTGCAAAAAAAAATTTGCATCTAAACCCGCAAATTTGTTGGTATTTAATTTCATCACTACCTGCGTGCTTATAATTTATTTTCACTGTAGACTAGGCTGGCATGTAAGGGTATTGCCGTGTTCATGGTGTGGATTTACTCTTCAGGTGAATATTTATGTCAGGGATCGGACCATTTGTTTAGGTCCAACCATGAACATATTTATATACGTATCTGTGTGTACTTATTCCTTGACACCTATATAAATTTCTTGCTAGTACTTTGGTGTGTGCAGGGTCTTTTTGTCTATGCATTTTCCTCAGATTTTTGTGATACTTAATTGTACTACCAGTGGTATGCTTATAGTTCAGTCATTTTCATTGTTTACAACACTCGCATGCTGGGAGCCTAGCAATGTAATATGGTTTGGACTGTTGATCAACATTAGTGAAACATTATGTTTAGGACTAGCCATATAGTTTTGTTTGGGTTTCATGAAATTTCTAATCCTAGTTAGAATTACAAGTCATTTTATGCAGTAGCAGAAAACTAAAATGTCTTTCTTGCATAGATTCTAATTACTGTTATCATTCAGTGGTTTTGTACCAAGGGTATTTATTTAGATGAAAAAGCACACTATCTTCTTAAGTTCGCTTTGGATAAGTGGATTTCAAATAAAGGAATTTTAGTTGAATTTTATAAAATTATAAGAAGATTGGCTATTGAAGGTAGATTGATAACTCTGAAGTGGATGATTGAATAAAGGTATGGGACATGTATTTTATTAAGATTCTTGTACAGGTAGAATTTTTTATGAAAGGATTTTAAATAATTATTTTCAGCAAATTATTTGAAATTCATCAATATAAAGCCTTTTAAATCCATTCTTAATGTCTAAATATAAAACATTACACTGAATTGAAGACTATACTCCTCAAATTATTGATGCCTAATCTTTTCATTTCAAATCTATAAATTCAAAGGCAACCTTAATAGATACATTGGATTGCCTTCCCTCAATAGTGAGAAACGTGCTGTGTATAATTTTGACAACTGTAGTTTTCCACCCCCCCCACTTTGTGATGGCATTCCTAGGTGAACTTCTGGGGCTCTCCATTTAATGGGGCTGTTTGGTGCACAACTTCTACTTAGTTGAAAGTTGATAATAAGAAAATAGAAGCTAAAAACCTCTCCCCTGCGTCCTGGTAATCAATTTTTTTAGCTTATTTGAGCTACTTCTACCTTAAAAGCTATAAACAAAAGCTGTACCAAACACCATGGCTCCTATTTCCAAAATAGAAAAAGCTATAAGCAGCTCCATGAGCTGTGGTAACGAGAATAATCTTCTCCTTCGAGAAGAATCAAAAAGAAAAATGGGAAGTGTTCAATTGGAACATGAAAACGTGACTAAATTGGTCCTAGTTGCTCTTTGGGACAGAGTGGAAGAAAGGAGGAGATTCTCAAATGTGGAAAAGGATCCAATGACTTAGAAAGAATTGAACAAGGAGCCAATGAGGTGAAAATCTCATTCACTGTTCTGTAGAGTGGCACCAAACGGCCCCAATGTATTATCTATCCTGTTTCCCTAAGGATATTCTGTATCTGATCACTGTTTATGTTATCAGGTTATATGTCTGCACCAGTGATGCCACCAATGGTGGGGCCACCTGCTGCTGCTGCTGCTTTGCCTGGTCAAATTACCAACCTCCCAAGGCCTCCACCAATGGGTGCTCCATCAGCAGTTCCAGGGACCACTATGACTCCTGCTAGTGTTTCCACCTCAATGGTTACCCCAGCTATGTATCAGGCGGCTAATTCAGCGCCACCTACAAGTGGAGGTTTGATAGTTTCAACATGAGTGCTCAAGCTCCAGAGGCTGATCATTAGTATGGTACTAGGTTTTTGTTTTTAAATCTTGTAGAATTGACTGTGTAATTGCAGCAGTACATTGTTTATGGGACATGACAAATTGTGTAAGGAAATCTAGCCATCTCAAAATAGTAAGAAATCACTGCATTTTTTCTAAAAGCATTTTAGGCCATTAATTACAACCATTTATCTCTAAAAAAATTATCTTGTTTCATTTCCTGCGCTAGTGACAACATGCATTTGGTATGCATTTCATTGCTAGATCTGTTTGGATTGTTTGTGTCTTAAGGTTCTGGGGTAATGCATGCTGATTTGTTTCTCAAATGGGTAGCACATTGACTCTACTCCTTTAGGGGATCATGATCATCAGGCTGCTTCAACTTTTTCCTCTCCACTGTCTTTTCCTTTTTCTCAGATGAAAAAATATCATCAATAGATATCCAAGTCAACAGAACTCTGGTTGTGTTTTAGAGATTGATTCCCTTTTGAGCGGGAAGTTGGCTTTACAGTTGCCGAAGTTACAGAGCTTGTGAGGAAAAAAAGAAAAAGAAAAAGAAAAAGAAAAAGAAAAAGAAAAAGAAAAAGAAAAAGAAAAAGAAAAAGAAAAAGAAAAAGAAAAAGAAAAAGAAAAAGAAAAAGAAAAAGAAAAAGAAAAAGAAAAAGAAAAAGAAAAAGAAAAAGAAAAAGAAAAAGAAAAAGAAAAAGAAAAAGAAAAAGAAAAAGAAAAAGAAAAAGAAAAAGAAAAAGAAAAAGAAAAAGAAAAAGAAAAAGAAAAAGAAAAAGAAAAAGAAAAAGAAAAAGAAAAAGAAAAAGAAAAAGAAAAAGAAAAAGAAAAAGAAAAAGAAAAAGAAAAAGAAAAAGAAAAAGAAAAAGAAAAAGAAAAAGAAAAAGAAAAAGAAAAAGAAAAAGAAAAAGAAAAAGAAAAAGAAAAAGAAAAAGAAAAAGAAAAAGAAAAAGAAAAAGAAAAAGAAAAAGAAAAAGAAAAAGAAAAAGAAAAAGAAAAAGAAAAAGAAAAAGAAAAAGAAAAAGAAAAAGAAAAAGAAAAAGAAAAAGAAAAAGAAAAAGAAAAAGAAAAAGAAAAAGAAAAAGAAAAAGAAAAAGAAAAAGAAAAAGAAAAAGAAAAAGAAAAAGAAAAAGAAAAAGAAAAAGAAAAAGAAAAAGAAAAAGAAAAAGAAAAAGAAAAAGAAAAAGAAAAAGAAAAAGAAAAAGAAAAAGAAAAAGAAAAAGAAAAAGAAAAAGAAAAAGAAAAAGAAAAAGAAAAAGAAAAAGAAAAAGAAAAAGAAAAAGAAAAAGAAAAAGAAAAAGAAAAAGAAAAAGAAAAAGAAAAAGAAAAAGAAAAAGAAAAAGAAAAAGAAAAAGAAAAAGAAAAAGAAATATAAATATTTTAGGCCTGAACAAACATATTTTTTAGTTTATGTTTTTAAAATTTTTTAAACATTTTGTTCAAACCAAACGCGTTTGCAATTTATGTTTTTCTAAAAATAAATAAAAACCTGTTTATAAATTTTTTATAAACATAAACCAAAAACGTAAACGTTACCAAACGCTACCTTAAATATTAATTCAAATAATTATTTTTAAATTTGTACATTGTAATTTTTTTTAATCTGAAATTTTGTTTTCCGTTCTTTTTTGAAATGAAAATTCTTTAGGGAAGTGCACGTAATCAAATTTTTCTAACATTTTTCGGTTGATAATATTCTAACCCTTCTTGTGTTATAGTCAAATTTAAGCAACATATATAATTTTTTTCCTTCACAAGACCTACTCTTATTGATATTCTTAGTAGACTTAAACTTGTAATTTATTCATTCATTTCCCCCTTGCAAAATGGATTTATTCCACAGCAAATCATCTCTGATAATATCAGGAACTCACATTTTGCTTGCACTAGAAAGCAAACTAAAACTTTTTATGCTACCTTGAAGCTTGATATGAGAAAAGCTTTTGATAGTGTGTTGGGACTTCTTAGAACAGGTTCTTCGTCTCTACAAGTTCCCTTTGAAATGCATTCAGTTGATCGTGCAATGTGTCTCTACAGTCTCCTATTCTATTCTTATTAATGACTCTTACACCCACTTTTCCACTGCAAGGACTTCACCAAGATGATCTAATTTCTCTGTATCCTTTTTTGCTATGTGTTGATATCTTTTCTTCCATGTTGATTTTTTCTTTGAACCAAGGTGGTCTTGGAGGAATTAACATTTCCAAGGCAGCTCCCCAAATTTCTCATCTTCTCTTTGCATACAATAGTTTTATTTTCTTCAAATTCACTCCTTATTGTTGCCAAAATCTGAAGCACATTCTTGACACATTGTTTTTTGCCAAGTGAAGTCATTAATTTTCTTAAATCTGGTCTTGTTTCCAAACCACACCCCCCCCCCCCCCCCCCCCCCCCCCTCTTTCAATTTATAAAATACTTGGGTGTTGAGCTTGACATTGTGAGTCATAGGAAGAAGATATTTCAAGAGATAGTTTACAAGGCTCAAAAATAAGCGCTCACGTTGAATGTCCATTCTCAATAAATCTCGTCGACTCACCCTAATCAAGTCAGTCCTTTCTTTTATGCTTATATATTACATGTCCATCCATCATTTTCCCCATTATGTTTGCAATCAAATTTCTTCTATTTTTTTTTTGTGATCTGGTGATCCTCTTCATCGATTCCATCATTGGAAGAGTTGGGACTCCATTTGCTTTCCTTATTCCTTAGGCGGTGTTGGCGTAAGAGACTTGAGACTATTTAACCAAGCCCTTATGGAAAAACAATGTTGGTGACTTCTGTTGTGTACATATTCTATTTTTCAAGTCAAATACTATCAATCTTCCTCTTTTCTCTCTATTTCTTGGAGTTGAAAGAGTATCCTTTTTGGCGAAGCAACTTTACAACTGGACTTCAATGGTAGGTAGGGACAGTGTTCTCTTTGGAATGATTATTCAATCCCATCACCTACCCCCATCCTTCTCAAAAATCAGATTTTTGATTTAGCTCCACTTCAGTTTGTGTTTAATCTGCCTGCTAGCACTTCAGTAAAAGACCTTATTCTTTTGGAGCATCATAAGTGGAATGTCTCTAATCAATTCCGTCTTTCCTCCTTTCATTGCTTTGCTTATTCTCTTCCTCCCTCTCTCAATTTGAATTTCTTGATAAACTCATCTGGGCTTCTCTCACTCAGTGAACTTCCACTATCAGCTTAGCTTATTATCAAGAATCAAGAGTTGTTCCCTCCTTTTTCTTCTTATGATTTAATGTTCTTAACTCTCCTCTATACACACCATTTGGCCCAATTTTACTTGGGACCAACTCTGGTCTCTTTCAATTCCTTTCAAAATACAATTCTTTTTGTGGCCAGTCTGCCATTATTGTCTTCCTTTTGGTGAGCTCCTTTCAAGTAGAGGTTGGAAGGGAGATATCTTTTGTCCTTTTTACCTTCAGCACATTGAAAACTCCATTCACATTTTTTTTCTATGTTAGACCAATTTGGTTTGGTTCTCAGCTTGGTATTTTTACGTCCACAATTCAGACATCTTCTTTGTCCTATTAGTTGGGTTTTTGGTTTAGTTTTGCTTACTGATGCAAACCTACATCACCAAAGTTGTCACCTAATCTTTTGGAAAAATTAGAAAACTAATGACTCGTGCCAAAAGCCATAGTTCGTCGTAATCAGAGTATCTCGACTCGGGAACCCAAGTATGAGGGGGAAAGGTCATGAATTGACCATCCTCGCTCACCTAATCAAAAATCAACCTCTACTAATTTTCGATATGAGATTCATTACCAATATATGTTCATGTTCCGATTAATAATGCTAAAATTACTATGTGAGGCAAGCAAGTATAGACTAAATCGCTTACTTTGGAATGCTTCAATCTCGTGCGTTTAAAAAAAAAGTTTGAAAATGTGCCACTCAGAGAAAAGATAAGTCCACATGCATAGAAATCAAAGTCATCCTAACTTAAGCAAAATAACCTCCATCCATAGGCATCCAAGGAGACATATCAAATAAGCACATAGCCTCGTGGTAGAATACTAGACATAATAAGTAAAACATGCACAAACAGGATGCAAAAGATGAAAGAAGCTCACCTAGTACTCATCCGCACCAAGCCAAGCACAAAAAGTTAGAAAACATGCATGATCCTAGATGCAATTACGTACAATGGATTGCAACTAAAGACTTGGCTACTAGCATATGATATACGTGAGTCATGTAATCACACAAGAGACAAGGAAAGAACGAATAGAATGAGCCAAGCCTTGTGCATGAAAAATAAATATAAAACATAGAAAATGATTAGTAAAGAAAACATGACACCAAAAATATGGAAAGCTCTAAATAAAAGGGATAGAGAAAAAAAAATAGAGAAGAATAATGAATATACATGCATTTATACTAAAAAAATAAAATGACAAGAATAATGAAAGCTAATTACACTAATCAAGGCTACCAAATAAAAAATGGGGAAGCCACTAAATAGTGGAAGCTAAGGAATAAAATGATGGAAAAGAAACAAGCCAAAGTGCTTCTCTCAAAATAACACTACAAGTTAGATATGATGAATTCATCGTCAATCATTATGAAAAATGAGAGAATTAAATCCACCAAGGTCATAGAGGTTTCCAAATAATCATAAGTAAATGATCCCAATCTAAGTCACCAAAGGGTGTGAGAATGTGTAGCAAAATGATGAAGATAATGTAATCTGTCCCTTCTATCATGGAAATAATCAAGGAGAAATAGATTGGCTTTAACAATCATCAAATAGTACAAGAACGCTACATGATGATTATAGAAGTAATCAAATGATGGAAAATAAAGAAATAAGATGACCAAAATCCACCATTCTCATCACGGAATAAACATGAGAAGATGTGACTTCTTTGATCATAAAAGATATAGACAAATCATGTGATGATCATAGAAGTAAAATGAATAAAGAAATAAACCAAAACAAGAACTATCATCTACATCATAGAGAGGATAAAATGATAGACTTCTTTGATCATCAAAGACATGGAAATCCTATGATGATCATAGAAGAAATTCAAAAGAAAAAAGGAAATA